GCTCTGAAAACCCAAACGCCATGAGGCTCCAGCTAGGCTTGTACAACTTGTGACCCACCAACACTGCACGTGCAACACCCTACCTGGAGCTCAATAAACACCCAGGACCATGAAAAGCAGAGGTGCTCTCAAGGCGCTGGCAGGCCACGGCAGACAGCTGGGCTGCATATGGTCTTCGTGGGCCACGTACTGCTTAGGCCCACTTGGGACTGTAAGTGGTTTGGGACTGGTGAGTGTCAGTATTCCATTGGCAAGGCCAGAACAATGGCCTCCATTGCTTGAGCCGTTCCCTCCCGCCTCCGACGGGAATCAGTTCTTCTGCTCCCCACGTTTCGAAGGCACGTGAAAGTTCAGCAGCCCACAAGCCCAGGCAGACAAAGAACTTTTGAGCCACCTTTCCAGGTAAGTCTCCTGTGGGACCGCGCCCAGTTTATTTCGATATTAACACGGAAGCCCAGGATCTGCTGTGTTTCTGGCCCTGACCTACAACTCCAACACACACGCTGATCTCAAGAAGGTCACTCCGATCCCACCTGGAGGGAAGACTCCCCGGCCAAGTGGCTAGGTGCATCCAGCTCTCTGGAAAGAGGCCCAGAATCCTTTGCTGCCATGTGGCTTTCGATGTACCCACAGGAAACCAGTGAGAAAGAGGAGGGTCCTACAGGAGTCCGTATAGCAGGTCAGTCACTGCACACCTTGTGCCAGCAAACTAGGGAGGGGACTCGGCCCACATTTCCTTACCCTTTTTGCAAGTTTGCCAGGACCCTGCACAACCTCCACCCAAACTGCAGCTGACAGGGTGACAGCCAGCCCCCTCCTGGTGCCATAGCAACACCCGTTAACTTCCTTCCTCCCACGTCCTCTGTCCTGTCAAAATCCCCAACGGGGGACCCCTTTTCTACCCGCTTCCTGAGGTGCTCTACAGTGTGCCCTTCCCCCCGTTGTGCCCTCCCCAGGTTTAAGAGCCCCAGCGGCAAGACGAGCCATGTTTCGCTCAGATTCCCAGTTGCCGGAGCAAGACGCTTAACAGAATTCATTGGCAGCGGCAGGTTGCAGAACTTCCACCGTGCAACCGGCACAACCCCAAGCAGGAGGCGCGACCCAGCATCACATGAGCCCAAGGTGCGTTGGCGTGCTAACGCAATACCACAGCGTGCCTCATGGGGTCACAGAGGGTGCCAAATACAATCCGGAAGATGCGTAACGGCACTGCGGCAATACTGCAAAGGCTTCTGGGAGGCCCACTACTCGAAGGGCATGGAGCAGGCTCTAAAGTGTACGGGACTCAAGCTCCTAGAACACGTCCTGCAACACGTGGGCCTCAGTCAGACATCTCGGCCAGCAGACCCACAGACCCCTGCTCCAGTTCTTGGTGCTGCACTTGAAGCGCCCACCGCCAAGTCAGGTTGGCCGCCGCCATGAGACAACAAAGGACGTCCCTCTTCCGCAGTATCAGCAGCCGCTGCAGCTCGGTGCCCGCCAGCACGCCTGCGGTGCCCGCCAGCAGGCTGCCCGCGATCCCGTAGGCATTCCCAGTAAACACGGAGACTATCAAGATGGTGACGGAGGCGACCATGGTGACGGAATGGGCCGCCATGGCCTTGCCTTCTTCTCTCAGGTAGCCTGAGCTGGCAGCCACCAGCAACACCCCTCCCAAGAGGATGTTGGCGGTGCAGTGGTCACCGCTCAGCCAGTGGAACGCAAATGCCAGCAGCGAGAGGCCGACCGCCGTGGAGATCCAGGCGCTGTCCAGGGACTCCGAAACCCAGCCGAGCCCCAGAGGCGCAGCGAAGGGAGCGGCTGATTCCAGGAGCGGCGCGAGAGCTTGGAGGAGGAAACCTGCCGCGGCCCCTCGGTGGATCTGCAAACAAGAGGAAGGCAGGGAGGTCAGAGGTGTGGCGCTGGTGGTTGGTCCCGCCCCCGACAATGGGCGCTCCGCCCCACTCACTGATGTCACAAGCCCCACCCCTTCCAAACACTTCCTGGTGTCTCTAGGCCAGCCCCCCCAGTCTTTTAGCGCCTCTAGTGGGCACCTTTGAAATTCTGACACACTGTGGGCTCAATGACAAAATGGCCACTGCTGGAGGCGGGGCCAACCACATGCACAGGAGGCCCAAGTGCAGCAGGGGACGAGGGAGCAGATTTTAGAAAAATGCACTGGGAAAGAGCAAGGGAGAGAGAGAATGAAACCGACTTTGTGGTTACTTCAATCTGCACAGCCGATCAAATCGCCAATGGCCAATCAGAAGGCTTGCTGGGCAAAAGCCCCACTGGGCCCCACCCACTCCGTAAAAATACTTGGCAGGCTCCAGGGAAATTGTTTGGTGGATGCCGCGGCGCCCCCGGGCACCATGTTGGGGAACCCTGCTCTAGGCCACGGGCTCCCTTAAGAGGCCACTCGACAGGAGGGGGAAGAGGAAGAGGAGGAGAGGGTGAAGGGAGAAGAAGAGAAGGAAGAGGAGGAGGGGGGAAAGGGAGAAGAAGAGGAGGAGGAGGGAGGAGGGAGGAGGAAGAGGAGGAGGGGGAAGGGAGAAGAAGAAGAGGAGGAAGAGGAAGAGATTGGGTTAATGCCCCGCCCTTCACTCAGAATCTCAGAGCGGCTTACAATCTCTTTTCCCTCCCCCTCCCCAAAACAGACACCCTGTGAGGTGGGTGGGGCTGAGAGAGCTCTGACAGGAACTGCCCTTTCAAGGACAGCTCTTGTCAGAACTATGGCTTGCCCAAGACACAGGGAGTCTCAGTCCAGTCCAAACTGAGGAGCCTGGAGGACAGGCCGGTGAGCAGAACGCGACTCCATCCATTTCAAACCTGGCAGGTCTCCATGGCAGAGCTCAGGCACACGGCACACAGCAGGAGGCTGGAGAACACGCCGGCCCCTTCATCCAGCCCGCGAAACATTCGGCACAAGATCCACCAGCCCTGCAAGGGAAGACACAGAGGGAGACAGAGGCAGGCTTGACACACTCCACGGAAAGGGTCTGTCTGACCAAGACAGGCTCAATTGCATCAGCCACACAAGTAGACCTTTCAGGGCAGAACACGGTGTTTGTCACTTACTGGCAAGGTCTGGGTGCTGCCTCTTCTAAGATCTGCTCAAGGCAGCTTTGAGGGGACCCAGTGAAGTTGTGTGTGTCCCCCCCCCCAAGAGATGCCGGCTGCATCCCCCTGAGTCAAACCATTCACTGACAATGCGGGAAGGTTTTCCTGGGTGTGATGGATCGGTGCACATGCACAGGCATCTGTGGCTGTTGAATAGTGGAGGAAGCAAAGTAGGAGACCAAGGAAGTGTGAGAAAAATGGGGTGTTTCTGAGATATGGGGGCAGGAACCACATCTGAGACCTCTGAGAGCATTCCAAATGTTGTGGGAGACAACCCCACAGAGTAAGTGTCAGCAAGCTGCCATGGTGTTCTGTGTAACTTCTGATTGTACATATGTGATCCCTGTCCCTGCCAGCTGACCCCTGTGTTTTCTATGCTGTAATGCCAAAGTAAAACAACTGGAGAATGTAAGGGGGAGAGTATGCTTCGCTATTAGCTTCTTACTTATCAAGCCTGTGAACTGCACCAAGCCTGTGAACTGCACCTGTGTTTTGTCTACCATTCGCCTGGTTCCCAAGACTTGAGCAGGCAACCGTTTTCTCCTGCCCGCCAGCGGGAACGTTATCCATTGGTTGTGTTTCTAACTTGAATCCCTTTATCATGTCTGCCCTAACTGCTTG